AGCCGGAGCCTTTAAATTTTGCCAGAAACATTACCACCTATTATCTCATTTGATTCTTATGGGAATCTTATAAAATAGGTTACCAAAAGTGATTATTCTTTCTTTTTTGATACTAAATGGAAAATCTGATGTCCTTCTTTTCAGACATTGTTGCTTGAAAATATATTCATCTGAGTTATTCTGGAGTCAAAAAGGACCCTAACAGCATACATGTTATAAATGGAAGCCACTCTCTCTTTATTTACTTAGGTTTATCCTAAACAGTATAAACTATAATGGTAATTTATGGAAGAAAAATGCTACTCTGAACTGACAGAAAAATTGTGATTTATATATACAGGAATATTTTCCATTTTATTTTTCACGGACTTTTCTGATCTTGGCTATTATATAAATCTGGGATATATTAAGAAAATGGTCCAAATATTGGTCTTATGATTCTCACACATAACTAATTTTGTTTCTCTATACAACTTCTGATTGAAATATGACCTCTCCACCACTCCTTGTGTTAAAAGACTGTGTGATTCAAAGAAAAAAGAAAGAAATCTCAGAACGTTAGCGCTAATTGTTTTAAATTTTTGTATATATAAAGCAAGCTGCCTAACTAATAAAAAAAGGATCTTTTCAGCAGCAATATCGAGCAAGTATTATTACACATATTTTCACTGAATGCTAATAGATTCGCATGTACATATTTCTGCTTAGGTCTAAGTCAGAAACGCTGAATGGATAAATGTACCATCCTTTAAGAGAAATATCACATCTTTGATGCCAAATCCACCCATGCACGCCTGAGTTTGAGATGTGAAATTCTGGAAAAATAGAAAAGTAGACTAGATCTCTGAAAACTTAAATTCTGGGGCTAACTAGCTCTATAATCTTGAGGCATTATAAAACTTCTAGTCAATGATAACTTTATTGGAAAATCTGATGAGATTAAACTATATCATTTCTAAGATTTCAGTCAGGTATAAAAATACTTCATCTATTTTGAGCAATGATCCTCTTTTACCTAATTCAGAAATAAGTAATGGAGAGGAAAGAGTGTATGCACATACACATTTTCCCCCTCTCTCCATGACACTAACAATTTAATTATTTTATACTATAATTAACATTATAGCATGAATAATATTTTTTTCATAAGTCAAGTAATTTAAGAATCAGCCTGAAATTATTGATTTGTGTGTGGGGTACGTGAGAAAATTGCTAAGGTCAGGAACATTCTTTCCAAGTTTCACATAACCCTAATGCATCTGTTTAACTCGCATAGTTTTACTGTATCTACTTTGGGAGCTTAGCCTTTTTTTTAAATTGTCCTGGTTAGGAAAAAAAAAAAAAGGT